CGCGAAGGACCCTAAATCTTACAGACCCATCTGTCTCCTCTCCGTTGTAGGGAAATTCTTCGAGAAGCTTCTGAAGAAGCGACTCGATCGGACGTCGATGGCGCCGGGGAGACTCTCCGATCGGCAGTTCGGCTTCATGGCCGGAAGGTCGACGGAGGACGCGATCGTTGAGCTGCGTCGGATGGTCTCCGCCTCCGAGCGGAGATACGTCTATGCGCTGCTCTTCGACATAGCCGGCGCCTTCGACAATGTCTGGTGGCCTCTAGTCCTGGAGACCTCGAAGAGGCTAGGCTGCCCTCGAAATATCTTCCAGGTTCTCCGCAATTACTTTAACGATAGGAAGGTCAGCGTGTCCTTTGGAGACATTCGAGTCTCCAAGGACGCGAGTAGAGGTTGCCCTCAAGGCTCGGTTTTAGGTCCAGCGTGCTGGACAGTTATGTTCGATGGGCTTCTCCGCGAACTAGAGAGGGAGATAGGTAGGTCGTTTATCGCGTACGCCGACGACCTTTTGGTCACGGTCGAAGGCGACTCGCGGAAAGAATTAGAAGAAAGAGGGCAACGTGTAGCAAACTTAGTTAGGAATTGGTGCGAGGGGGCCAAACTCCAGATCTCATCGCGTAAGACTGAGGCAATCGTACTCAGGAGCGAACCGATCAGGAGGGCCCCCATCGGTAGACGGGGAGGAGCGCGTCCGGACCGGAAACGAAAAGCCCACTGGGCCAAGAAAACAAATCTCGCGGCAAGACCACCGACCATTCGCTTAGGAAACGAGAAGATCGCATTTAAGAAAACAGTTAGGTACCTTAGCATCCATTTTGACAGGGACATAGGAGTATCCTCCCATTGCAGATACTTGAGCGACAAGGTCGGGTCGCTCTTTAGTAAATTAGCTAGGATGGCGGGATGTCGGTGGGGATTGCGCTTCAGTGCGCTCTCCGCGATCTACCGGGGCGTGTTCGCGCCGACGGTGGCTTACGCCGCTGCCGGGTGGACCGACCTGTGCGCGGGGGCTGACCTGAAGGTTCTCAGGACCCTGCAGCGCCGAGCGCTCATCTCGACGACCGCTGCGTACCGCACGGCGTCGACGGAGTCGCTCTGCGTGGTTGCTGGCGCGCTTCCCGTCGACATTCTTCTCCGCGAATATTCGGCGCGATATATGGCAAGGAAAGAGATGGATGCCAGGTTAGGTGATGCAGTAGTCCCGTTCACCGGGAATCTTAAAAAGACCCAGGGTCTTATTAGGGGTGAGGCGTACAAGGTGTGGCAGGCTCGATGGTCTTCTTCGAGCAAAGGCCGCACTACGTACGCCTTCTTTAGTAATGTAGAGCGCAGGGTTGATGCGCGGTGGGTCTGCCCTGACCACAACGTGACACAAATGATCACCGGACACGGCAGGTTCCAGGCACGCCTTGCGTCCTTGGGCCTTGTGAAAGGTGAGATGTGTGTTTGTGGGGAGGGAAGCGACACGGCCGCGCACCACCTTCTGCGCTGTCAATAATTCGAACCGCAGCGGAAGGCTCTTCGGGATGTCGTTCCGGCCGCGAGCTGGAGGTGGCCGGAGGCGGCACAATACTTCGTGTCGACTCCAGAGGCCTACTCCATCTTCGCGGCCTTCTGTCGGGAAACCCTCTTTTTAAAGGGTCCATATTAGATTTCACAGCGGCCTACCCGGGGGATGTCGGAGCCCTCGGGCATGGGTAAACGGCCTCGCAACCTTCGCGAGATCACCGTGGACCCGGGCCGCTGAGGCTGGGAAAACTTTATTAATATACATTTCTTCTTTTCAGGTTCCCACCTCCATCACCCATACCCAATATCCACTCCTCTTTCCTGCCCCTCCCATCCAAAAGGGTCAGAGCGTGTGTCTGGGCGAGACACTAGTGAGCGGGCCTCCCCGTGGTCCCCGTGGGCGTGGGGCGCGCGCTGCAGCCACAAGGGCAGGCGGCGCGCGCGTCACGGCTAAACCGCTCATCCTGCGAACACGTCCCGCAGGCGCTGCTGGATTTTTCCATCGCCCTTCCCCTGTCAGTGGTTGACAAACGGTAGAGGTAGATGGTAGCAAGTTGCGTATAGCCTTCACGGCTGAGGGAGCAAAGCGCGGCACCCTATGGGTGTCGGGCTTCACACTAACTGGTTCGGAAGTCAATCTCATTTCAAAGAATGTGGCACAACAACTTCGGGCGCGCCGCCGGTCGGCACGAGTGACACTGACGGGTGCGACCGACAGGCGCGGACAAAAAGTGCGGACGGTTGCCTCACTATGGCTGCAGTCGATGACGGGGCCAATGTTCCAGCGGAACTTGGAGGCCCTGGTGGTGCCTCGCTTAACGGCTTACCGTCCGTTCCTGGCGGACTTGCCAATGCAGTGGTCGCATCTCGCCGGGCTGCCCTTGGCTGATGACCTTCAGGCCTCGGATACAGTGTTGGCAGTCTTGGGGGCGGAGTTCTACGCTGCCGTCGTGTTGTCGGAGATCCGCCGAGGTCCGGCCTTGGCGCCTGTTGCACAAGCCACGCGCCTTGGCTGGGTGCTCTTGGGTCTGACGGCACCGGACCAGGGCACCCAGAGTGTCCACTGCAGCACCGTGCGCTGCGTGGACGAAGCGCTCAACGCAGAATTGAGGAGGTTTTGGGAGTTGGAGGAGGTGCCCAAGACTTCTCCACTCACGCCAGGCGAGGAGGAGTGCGAGCGACACTTCTCCGCTACTCACACACGACAACGGGACGGCCGGTACCTAGTCCGCTTGCCGCTCAAGCCTGACGCAGTGGTCGGAGAGTCAAAACCTGCGGCGCACGCGTCGCTGGCGAGACTGGAACGCCGGCTCCAGACCAGTCCCGAGCTCCGGAAGGCGTACCACGCCTTTCTTGACGACTATGAGCGTCGCGGTCACATGCGTCGCGTGAGCGAGAACAAGGAAGTCACTGGTCGCCCTGGCTTCTACATGCCGCATCACCCTGTGATCGAGGGATCAGGGTCGGCGCTGAAACTTCGGGTGGTCTTTAACGCATCTCAGGGAACCGCTACCGGCCCTTCGCTGAACGCGGTTGTCCATGTCGGCCCCAGACTCCAGCAGGACCTCGGAGGTGTGCTGCTTCGTTGGCGCATGGAACGGATAGTATTCATCGCGGACATCGAGCAGATGTACCGGCAGATAATAGTCCACTCTGAGCACCAGCCGCTGCAGCGCATCCTTTGGCGCCCGTCTTCAACTAGGCCAGTGCAGGTCTACCAGCTGTGCACGGTTACTTACGGAACGGCCTGCGCTCCCTTTCTGGTGCTGCGCGTCCTGCAGCAGTTGGCCCGAGACAAGGGCACACGCTATCCGCAAGCGGCGGAACTTCTGCGGCGTTCGACGTATGTGGATGACGTCCTGGCTGGCGCTGCCTCTGTCGAGGAGGCCCTCACCCTGCAGACGGAACTGATTTCGCTCCTCCGGGCAGTCGGGTTTTCCTTGAAAAAGTGGGCCGCCAACACAGTGCTGGAGTCTGTGCCTATGGACTGCCGTCTATCACTGGTGCCCTTGCGGGACCATGCGGAATTGGGGACCCCTGTGTTAGGTGTCCAGTGGATACCGGAGGAGGACGCGTTCGGGTACGGCTAAGCCTACCCTCGGCGGACACCAAACGAAACGTACTCTTTACAATCGCCAGAATCTTTGATTCACTGGGGTGGATCAGTCCGGTAGTGGTCTCAGAGAAAAAGTTGTTGCAGGAACTGTGGCTGCGGGGAGTTGATTGGGACGAGTCCCTTCCCCCACTGTTGGTGGGACAGTATCGGCGCGATCTCCAAGCCGTGAAGGATATACGGTTGCCGCGGTGAACGGGGCACCATCCCGGGGCAACGGCGGAACTCCACGGTTTCTGCGACGCCTCCGAGCGCGCTTACGCAGCCGCCGTCTATATGGTGATTTGGACCCGAGAAGGATCACCGGTGTCCCGTCTACTGGTAGCTAAGAGCAAAGTGGCGCCAGTGAAGCGGGTCTCGCTTCCCCGGTTGGAGCTCTGTGGAGCCCACTTGCTAGCCCGGCTCTTGCGTTTCGTGCGGGAGACTCTGCCTCCGCCGACCATGGTCAAACACTGCTGGACCGACTCGGCGGTCGCACTGATATGGATTCAGCAGCACTCAGCTCGTTGGAACACATTCGTGGCGAACCGGGTGGGAGCGATCCACGAGTTCCTCCCGTCCATTCCGTGGGGTCACGTTCCCACTAAGGAGAACCCAGCTGACTGCGCGTCCCGGGGCATGCCTCCTCGACTCCTGCGGGAGCACAAGCTATGGTGGGGAGGTCTCGCTTGGATTGTGCGGCTCCCCGAACACTGGCCTCGATGGAAGCAGGCGGGAACGGTTAATTATGGTATGGTGCGGGTTTGCCAGGGGGGTCGGACCAGGCAAATCCCCCTCAAGAGTGGAAGGACTGCTAGCGGCCTCTTTATATCGCAAGGCGTTACGCATTATGGCGTACGTGTTGCGGTTCCGCTATCGGACTCCGCCACCGTCGTCACCGCCGAGTATCGGCGCGCCGAAGAACGGCTACTCGCCGTCACATAGCGGGCGTTCTTTGCGGAGGAACTGGGTCGATTGCGTGGAGGTCGGCAGCTGTTGGGTTCGGGTCGACTGCGCCAGCTCCATCTATCTCTGGGCGCTGATGGCCTGTTGCGCATAGACGGGCGGTTGAGGTTCGCGGACTTAACTCACGACAGGCAATATCTCATATTGTTGCCGAGGGAGGCTCGGCTGACGGAACTCTTGATCCGGGACGCCCACGAACGAACGCTACATGGAGGTGTGCAACTAATGCACAAACGGCTCAGGCAGCGCTTCTGGATCCCTGCAGGCCGGGCTCCAGTGAGACAAGTATTACATCGGTGCGTCGTCTGTGCCAGGCATCGCGCGAAGCCTATGACACCGGTGATGGCGCCGTTGCCTCGCGAGCGAGCGACGCTAGCTCCGCCTTTCCACACTGCCGGAGTGGATTACGCTGGACCGGTCGCCCTCACCGCGGTATGCGGACGTGGACGCGCCTCGTTCAAGGGGTACATCGCGGTGTTCGTTTGCTTCGCCACGCGCGCCATCCACCTGGAGCTCGTCGGCGACGGGAGCGGTGCATTTGGACACGGTGCATTTGGACACAGCCAAGCACCGTGTGATTAGAGACATTTGTAGGGTCCCTTGGAGCAGCGACTTGTGATTGGACTGTGTCCAATTGCCCCGTGTCCAACTGATATACACCTGTCGGCGACTACACTTCCGAGGCGTTCATCGCGGTCTTTCATCGATTCGCAGCCCGCCGCGGCCTACCCGCTGTACTCCACAGCGATCAAGACACCACCTTTGTCGGCGCAGACAAGGAGCTACGCGCCCAGCTCCGTGCCGCACTGGACGTAGGGGGTCCGGTGACGACGGCACTTGCCGCAGACGGAACGGACTGGCGGTTCGTGCTTCCGGCCGCTCCGCACTTTGGAAGGTTGTGGGAAGCCGGGGTGCGGTCGATCAAGCATCATCTGCGACGCGTACTGGGAGAACGACTGCTTAGCATCGAGAAGTTCTCCACTTGCGCGGGTGGAGGCCTGTCTTAACTCCATGCCTTTGAGTCCACTGACGAACGATCCGGAGGACCTAGAGGTTCTGACGCCCGGACACTTCCTGATCAGGCGACCGCTGATTGCGGTCCCCGAGCCCAGTCTGGCCAATGAATCGGAAACACACCTCAACCGGTGGCAGCTCCTCCGACGCCTCACGGAGCATCAGTGGGATCGTTGGTCCAGGGAGTACCTTACCCAGTTGCAGGCCCGACGCAAATGGCACCAGAGGGAAGATCCACCCAGAGTAGGAGAGTTGGAAGTACTGTTGGACACACGAATCCCGCCGACGAAGTGGGCCATGGGCCGACTACAAGACTTGATCCCCGGCCCATATATATATATATATATATATATATATATATATATATATATATATTTTAAAAAAGTAATTCAAAATAAATATTTATAAATATTTATCTAATAACTTACTAATATTGTATGCTGTCTGGGTTAATACTTTTAATCTTAACAGTACTTT